GTGTGTGTGTGTGTGTGTGTGTGTGTGTGTGTGTGTGGTGTGTGTGTGTGTGTGTGTGTGTGTGTGTACACAAAGTCAACAGCAGCTAGTTGTTGGGCTGGGAGAGGCACAAGTGCTGGTGTCTCATTAGTAACCTAAGTGACCTGACTCTGTTCCGTCCCCTGTGCTGAGAGGCAAGGGCCACCTCCTGTAGACTGCACTTATGGCCAACCAACATCTTCCTCATCTCCCCCTCAACTTAGTTTCCTAGGATCCAAAGCCAGGCTAAACACAAGAACCCTGCCCCAAACCCCTGGCTTTTTGTCCCTGACAGCACCCCAGGAAAACAGAGCCTAGAACATAGCTGACAGGCTCCCACAGGAGGAGGAAGGGCTTTCATCAAAGAGATGACGTCAAAACCAGCCAACTTGTGAAGCAGTCAGGGGCCGGGAAATTTGGACAAAGGTATCTAAAAATAAACCCCTGAAGCCGGGAAAAAGCTTTGGTGGCCGAGTTGCTTGCCACCAAACTACACGCCACCCACCCTGTTCTGAGGTCTGGAACCCAGGAAATATCTTCCTGAGGATGCTCCTCCAGATTAGCCATCAAGACCAAAGACGACACAGATCAAACAAGATGGCAAACCGGGTCCAGCAGCCCTCCCTTGAGGTGCCATGCAGAGCAGGCCTAGGACATCTGTGTCTCACTTTCTGCCACCAAACCAACCCACTTCCCACCTCCTACCCCGGGCTCAGGGAGCACAACCTCGCTAGCAGTGCTCCAGGCCGCCATCTCCCAGCTCACAAAGGAAAAACTTGCTCTTCTCTTCCCCAGCCTCTTCCCTACCTCTGATGACAGACATCACCGCCACTTAGCCATTTCCACACCTCATGCAGATGTTGAGCAGTTCCACTGTTAGCTCACAGAACCAGTTTTACCCCAAACCAGGTACCTCTTTTAGACTCCCACAGTTCAATGGAAAGCAACACTACGCTTTCAACTACCTTAAAAAAGGAAACGGGCCAGGCGGTGGTGGCGTGTGCCTTTAATCCCAGCACTCGGGAGGCAGAGCCAGGCAGATCTCTGTGAGTTCGAGGCCAGCCTGGGCTACACAGTGAGTTCCAGGATAGGCTCCAAAGGTACACAGAGAAACCCTGTCTTGAAAAACCAAAAAAAAAAAAAAAAAGGCCATATCCTCTGAGACACACCCCCCCCCCCCCCAACAGCCAACCCAGCCTTAGCACAACAGCTCCACCGTAAACAGACTGCTGATCTCGGTGCTGGTTTTGCATCACTAGTCTCTGGCCCAGTGACTTATGACCTGGAAGAAAGTAATGCTGGCAACCCAATCTGTCTGTAGGAAGGAAGAGCATCACCCAAGAGGAGGCAGCTTAACCTGTGGCCATTTCCAGTCAGATCCTGACTGCCTCCTGAGCACACTTCCCACCTCTTCACCCACGCTCAGAAGTGGGGCAGCCCATCTTGAACAGACGGCTTCAAGTGAACACTGCATTGATTGTTAAGTTTGTTTTGGGTTTTTTTTGTTTATTTTGGGGACTGCATTGAATATGAGACCCCACACATGCCTTCAAGCTTTATATCGCTGACACACACACAGAGAAAGATATTTGTAATTCTTTGAGACAGGATCTCTGTATGTAACCCAGGCTGGACTCAAACTCTAGGTCCTTCTGCTTCAGCATCCCAGGAAACTGGGATTACAGCGTGTGCCAGTATACCCTAACTACACTGAGATCAAACCTATGCTCCTTGACAGGAATGGTGGAGTACAGCTGTCATCTGGAAACTTGAGAGGTAGAAAAATGAGAAGCAGGAGTCCAAGGTTACCCTCAGCTACACAGCAAGTTTGAAACCAGACTAGCTACATGATTCCCTGCCTCAGGGGGAAAAAACAAAACAAAACAAAAATCTCCAAACAAGTCCACCATTGCTCTTTGCCCTGCCCTGAAGAGACAGCCTTACCTTCTCTGCAACAGCTCTCCTAGGACTCCATCTTGAAGTGACCCGCTGTCTCTAACCCCCAGCCTCCTCCTATTTCCTCCATGTCCCTGTATTTCCCGCCTTTCCTCATCACCTCGCTGTGCACACCTCTTTCATGCACTAGTCTCCCACACTGTGGCCTGAAGAGCACTCAGCACAGACTCTATAAAAACAAGCCAAACAAATGAACAATCAATCACTTCAAACCCAAACTGTGGTCTTTTCCTTAGCTTTCAAGCCTAGAACACATCCAAAGAAGGGGTGTAGACAGATCAAGTTTTTAAGACTTCTATAGACAGAGACCCCTGTCAGATCTCTAGGTGGCTGACTTTCCTCCTCCTACAGACAGGCTAGGTTGCCAGCATTATTTCCTTCCAGGTCAGAAACGAAAGAGGCAAAGCCTGCCACCGCTGTTCAAGTCCTGAGGGGCATGGGGATGGAAATAAACGTAGTAGCATCGAGGCCAGGGTGACACATGACCACTGAGAGCTTGTTAGGCCTCCAGCAGGAGAGGGACAGGGTGAGGAGAGACAGAGCCAATCTGACCACATCAGGTTTCTCAACAAGCTCTTGGGGATGGTCTGACCCCAAGACCTTAAACATCTGAAAGAGATGCCAGGAGTCTCTGCAAATATTGCTGGCGACACAGGTGCCTGATCCGTGAGGGTCTCTGAGAGCTCCTCTCTCCAAACTAATTCCTCACACCCTGGGCAGTCCTCTCAGTTCCCACCCAAGGGATCTGACTGTCCGCCCTCCATGTCTCACCTTGATGTAGATATCCAAAGCAGGGTGGACTCGGCGGGCAGCCAGCCATATGGACATGGGGGTGGTGTAAGGGAAGGTGGCTGTCACCACATGGCTGGGTGCTGGGAAGGAGAATACCTTGAAGCCAAATTTCTGATAGAGGTGGATGAGCTCAGGTGAGGGTGACTCCTCTCCCTCACTCAGGATGCTGCCCACTGCACATCGGCACTTCTCACGAGGCACCTGTGGAGGCAGAGCACAGGATCAGTGCCAAGCAAAGGAAGGAGGCCTTCAGACCTAAGGCCCTCGGCTTTTGGGCTAATTCAGCCCTGGAGGAACCACCTGCTCTGACAAGCTACAGAGCCCTAGACACCAGGGTGGAGCTGACCATTTCCCTACCAAACCCAGCCATGGTTCCTGCCCATGCATTCTGCTGCACGACTCCCATCCACTCCTTCAGCAAACATGCTAAGCTGCACACACGGCTCAGGAATCATGGTGAGAAAAAAAAAAAAAGAAAGAAAAAGACTTGGTCTCTCCCCTCCAGGAGTCTTGGGGAGGGAGGAACAAAGATGTCTGAGCTCTCACCCCCTCCACAGCCTACACAGCACTGCCAAGGGACCTCCCATCTCCTGGTGTACCTTCTATGGGTCCCAGTCTCAGATCCCCATGCTGGGGTCTGGACCAGCCCAGTCCGGTTAGTGTGCCTCCCTCCTATCTCCCAGAGGAGCACGCCTCACTGCCAGAGAAATCATGGAAGCAGAGCAGCAGAACTGAGGAGTGAGAACAGAAAAAGCCTACAACAGCGTCTTCCTGGTTCCTCCATGACAACAGTGTGTGTGTGAGTGTACACAACGGAACACACAGGAGAGGCCAGGGTGGGGAGGCAGCACTGGCTGTGGAGGGTCAGGATGTGAGATAAAAATGGAAGAGGAATCTCCTCTAGGTTCACAGATAGGGACGGCCACCATCACAACAACATCTACATCTTTTCTACCTAAACCTGCCCACTTTCCAAATCCCTTCCTGGTTATGCTCCAGACGGTTGGCTCCTCCCATCTCCCAGTCCCCGACAAATGTCCTTTCTACTCTACTCCTCTCCCCCCTGATCCTCTCTCCTCTGGCTCCCATCAGCCAGAGGCAGCGAGTTTTGAGTTTTCAACACTTCCTAGGATTGACCCAAGGCCTCGAGGACCAGTGCTCACTTCTGGCAGCAGGTGGCAGTCTGTCCAACCTTCTGATTGATTCCTGTGTCTATTTCCTGCCATTTATGTACCAGCCCGTGGCCTAGGCCCCTAGGGGAGGGTGTTCCTAAGTCCAGGACATTCACCACAGGTCTTGGGCCTTAAGACTGGTTTTCTTGATCTTCGGGCGCCCTTCAGTTCTCTCCCTCCAGAGCTCACCGACCTCTCTACATTTAAAGGGACATTGCACCCCACTCTACCTTCCTAGCCCACTTTCTCAGCACCGTGAGTTGTTATTACACGTCCGCTTCTACCACCCTACACCCCGTCACACCCTCTCACGCCTGTCGTCATCCCCTGGGGACTTTCTTAGCCCTGATCCATGTCCTCTACTCTGGCAACCTATCCCTGCCTTAGAATCACAACTTTCTGCTCCAGGCTCTGACCTCTGAGCAGACCCCAGAGGATTGGCCAACTCTCAAGGTTCTGACCTTGCTGCTTCCTTGAACCCAGTGGCAGCAGGCATTACCGTAGGAGTTTTAGTGACAGGCAGTATAACGCAATGTTCACAACCACGGCTACAGGAAGGCTGGCCAGGGAGTGAAACCTGAGCCCTGTGATCCTAGCCAAGTCCCTTGGCTTCTCAGAGCACCAATTCCTTGATGTTTCCTTATGTGCTTTCAAATAAAAGACTTAATTCACAAAGGCACTAATGAAATGCCCCACAACTATTTTTGGTTATTCATAACAATAACACTGTCCCAATAACAGTGCCTAGGTCTAGAATGCCCATCCAACCTAATCTTTGAACATAGTCCTTCCTCACCCATCCTTCAGGTTCAATGCTCTCTTGGTGAACATTTCAGGGTGGCTTTGTAACATTTTTCCTCTCCTCAAATTTATTCCAAAATTTGCCCTCTTATCCTTCTCAAGACTATTTAGCCTTAAGCCCCTCCCGTTCCGTTCAAACATGGCATTGCTGCAGTACCACGTCTTGTCTCTAGATGGTGCACCTGTACCACTTACACCCTAAGAGTTCCAATGGCCATATAGGCAGGCAGGAGGCTCCCATAAGGCCAGGACTGACAGGCCAAAGGACAGGGAAGACACCCCACCCCAAAGAAAGGTATGCTATGTGGAGGGGAGTAGATAAAAGAGAAAAAAATGTTAACCTAAGTTAGAGGGAGAGACGGGAGGAAGGTGGAAGGTCACTTGTCACTTGACCGCTAGCTCCTCTTTATCCCTTGCCTGCTTTAATTTGGGTTCTAAAGTCTTTCCTGAGATCACTTCAGCAGCCCCCATGGAACTACCAACAAAACACTCTTTTGACTCCAAGATACTTGAACACATGACTAGAACCTCTCAGTGACTCCCAGTTCACATCTATGGCAAAACTAAACTTCCAAGTCAAACAGGTCAGGCATGACACTGAACTCACCTCAGAACAGGAACCAGCAGGGCCAGAACCTGGGCAGGAAGCCACTGGGTACGTGGCAGAGGGAGGGGCAGAACCCAGCTCTGGCCCAGCCCGCCCTGCCAACCTCCTCTCCTACCACACCCCCATATACACCCACATGTAGCTATTTGTAGCCAAACATGCCACGTCTTCCCATGCTGCATCCCTTTGCGTAAGCTACTTCATCTGCCTGAAATGTTCCTCTTCAACCGGTCTGAGTCTTCTTTCTGGAAAACTCCAGTTCATCCTGCGAGACTCAGCTCAACTCCTCTCCTCAAAGCCTTTTGCTATTTTCCTGGAAGCTGCCCTTCCTCTCTGATCCCCAAATATACATAAATGGAACCTGTCTTCCACTACACTCTAACGAAGCCTTCTCATTTCTTCCCACCACTCCAGCCTCAAGGCAGAAAAGTCTAGGATCCTACACAGAAGATTCCGTGGGCACGTTTAACAATGGTGCAAGCAGGCATACCACTGCTCACACAATTCCTACACCACAATCTAATTATCTGGAGGAGAGGAAATGCTCCTCTCCAAGGTAATACAGGGTCGTGTGGACAAAAGAGCTCTCGCTGACTCGGTTTGTCTCTGTGTCCCCCAATTCCACAAGTAAGGTCATTATCTGGTCCCTTTCCTATCCTGGACAGTGCTTAGAGGACATTCTAAGAGGTCCCACGGTAGCAGAACCAGGTCACCAGCAAGGAGACAGGACGGGTACGAAGATACCGCAGGAAGTGGCAAAGTTGGCACAAGAGCAGTGATCTAGTCCAAGACAAAACCCTGGGTCTCCTATTTGTCTACTTTTCCTACTCATATCAAATTTGTGTGGAGTACCTATGACCAGAACAAGAGCTGGACCAGAACTACACCAGCCTGGAACTATACCAGGGAGAGAGGGCAGAGGCAGAACCATCACCACTGAAGAAAGGAAAGTCCACCGAAGATCTACCATCAAAACCAAGACTATCATGCCTGGCAGTGATAGGGCACACCTTTAATCTCAGCACTTGGGGAGTCAGAGGTAGGTGGGTCTCTGTGAGTTCAAGACTAGCCTGGTCTACAAAATGAGTTCTAGAACATCCAGGGCTGTTACATGGAGAAACTCTTGTCTTGAAAAAC